CTCACCTTACCCGCATGTTTGCTTTCAATGTTTGTTTGTCCTTTGCTTGCTGAGTTCATCAAAGGGGATACCCTAAAGCCATTGGGACACCGACACGGGGTATTGATCCTTACCGCAGGTAAACGATCGATACAGGTAAGCCAATCTGAAAACAATCAATAATTTACTCACTTGCTATACAGTATGGTTTGTGATCAGGTGCATTTTTCGTCCTTTTGTTTTGTCACCGCGAAAAATGACAAAGACATTTTACATACTTAAACGGCGCTTTGCCATGGTGGCAAAGAGAAAATAATTCCTTTATAATTCTTAAATGGAGCTTTGTTGTGGCATAAGTCGTTTATAAGTGAGATTCTCGTTTTCTTTTTTCATAGTAAATTTAACTGGTTATATTCAAAGAGAAGACAAATCGGCCTTTAGTTTGAAATGTGTTTCGAATGCGTTTCGTTTGGTCTCTTTAAGTGTTAAAATTAATCCGTTGTGTTTCCCCTAGTTGTCTTCCTTATCGACGTTTTAAGCTTCCTTCAACGAGAGTGGAATATAAAATTTCCTCTCGAAGGTGGCCAAGATGTTTCTAGGTTCCCAGGTGATTTTCTTTTCCCCATATGAACTTCGGTTCCCTTTTTACTTACATCTACAAGTTCTGTCCCATTTGAAAGTCATTCAGAATTTCGGCAATATGGTGTTTTCTAGTCGGTTGATAACACTGCCAGCTAGAATAAGTTGATTCCTAAACCTCACGGAATTATGGATGCTGGCTTGTTTAATCGTTGAATTTACTTTCGATTCTTCACTTTTGGAGGTTATCTATTATTCTAGTTGTAATAACAGGAATGAGGCTTCCTGGTCCTATTTTGGATGTGGTTGGATGTCCACTTGGCGTCTGTACAGTGTGTAGTAGTAGGAGGTATGGATAACATGAAAGTGTATATATGCTATTGCAGTAGTTCAGTATGGTATTTATAAAAGCAATATATATTTTGTTGCAATCGGCACATCAACTAATAGAGAAAAAAAATAAAAAATCATAGCCTGTAATAAGGTGTACCAATTTGGGTATTAATCATGGCCGAAAAACGGACGAAATATCACTGCGAGTTTAGCGTTCTATTTTCAGAAACAAATCACTTAGAATCCAAACCTTTTTTCTGCAAATGAATCAAGAAACATTCCAGATACAAGATCTGAATTTTTAAATATCACTGAGACCGTCACAATAGTACCAATTGCGGTAGTGTGACGTTGGTTGGAGAACCTCTAAACATTTTTAACAAGAGGCCCAGAGGGTATGTATCGCTCACCTGGATATTTGAGCAATCATGGGAAAATGTTTTCAATAAAAGTAATTTTACAAATACATTTCCATATATTGAGTCTTAAAGAAACTACAACTATTCTATCCCAGCATGCAACTGGTAAAATATCATCACACAGGGCCTCCTGGTAATGCAAAAGTTGTTTAAAGGGTTTTTACATATTTGACCTTGGAAGTAGGTCAAGGTCACTTAATTGGGGTAAGTTTATAACACTCGATGTCAGGTACCTACTGGCTTACTATCATAACACTGGGCCTCCTGGTTCTTCAAAAGGAGTTGTTAATGTTTTTTAAAATATATATAATGTGTGTGACCTTGAAAGTAGGTCAAGGACGTTTATTTGAGGAAAGCTTGTAGCATACCGTCCCAGATACCGTCTGGCTAAGTATTATCGCTATATGTATCTGTTATTTAAAAGAAGTTGCTCAAAGGTTTTAACATATTTGACCCATGTGACCTTTCAAAGTATGTCAAGGTCATAAAGTCGTGGAAATATCATAGCACTACATCCCAGGTAACTACTTGCAAATTATCATCACCCTGGGCCTCCTGTTTATCAAGAAGTTTTTTTTAATGTTTTTACTTATTGGACCCCTGTGACCTTGAAAGTAGGTCAAGGTCATTCATCTGAGGAAACTTCTTTAATATAATGCAGTCCCAGGTAACTACTGGCCAAATATCATGGCCCTAGGTCCTCCAGTTCTTCCTGCAAGGTGAGCTAAAAATACAACTCAAGAGTGATTTTAACATGGTCTTATCTCAATACTTCCGAGAGAAATGCTATTCAGAGAACTATCTTGTAACATCACAATAATAACCTGTCCGTTCATTGCTAGGAGTGGTTATTTCAGAATGAATGGACTTACACACACACACACATATACAGAAAACAGATATCATAATTTCGATCATTTATGTTTAAATGATATCACCATATAATTATAAAACAAGTTCAGACACTGTAATAGTTAGATGATTTATTGTTAAAACAGTGCTTTATACATTCCCCTTTTTTCGGAAACAACATAAGTAAAAGTACACAACTACACAAAGTACAATACATGCCATAATACCTTAAATCCCTGACAATAGCATATATACTAATATTTTACCTTCAGTACTGTACATATAGTGGATAGATACACGGCCTTTCAATACGACTTATTCATGGTTTTCTTTAAACTTGTATATTGACTACACTCCTCCTCCCTTGTTTTCATTCACAACATCTGTTTACATCATACAATAATGTAACAAAGGAAAATGTTATGTGTGGAGGATCATTGCTAAGACCACTTGTAATATATTTACTGAAACATCACGACATACTTTTCTGTTTACATACACATATCGTATATATATAAGTACTGCATGCTTGTCAAGTGGCCCAAATATGGAAGGGAGGGAGACTCCCTAGACTTTCCACCCTCAGTTTTGACTTTTAAGGTAAAGGGTAACCTATAATCACTAAGAATGGTTTCACTCGTTATTTTACTTGACATAGAGTGTTCTCCCCTCTACACAGGAGATAAAGCAAACAAATACTTGAGTTTTTCTGACATAGAGTTATTTTTCCTGTCAAATTAATCATAGGCTTGACAGCCATAAATTGGGCTCTCCATTTGGTGCTGTACTTTTATAACTGCTGAGTGGCCAACATTGATAAATAGTATTAGGCTTTACCATGTTAATGTCCTATGCTAATGTCCTATGTAAATGTCCTATGTTAATGTTCTTTGTTAATGTTCTATGTTTATGTCATATGTTAATGTCCTATGTTAATGTCATATGTTAATGTCCTTTGTTAATGTCCCATGTTAATGTCCTATGTTAAAGTCCTATGTTAATGTCATATGTTCGACCCCTGCAGTTTTTCTGTTTTATATCTTACCTCTAATTTCAAACATTCAAATCTAAAACAGCTATAATTCTGTAAAATGTTTATTGCAACATGTGAGTTTAACGGAATATTTCTATTGTAAAGGACTTAAAACACATATTTCACAATTGGAAATGGTAATAATATTGTTCAACCTGTTGGTACTCTTTACCTAAAATCAACAAATTCGTTACTTATTTTTTTTTTGGAAAGACAATCTTAAAAAGTGGCATTTTTCACCACTTTTTTGTCCAACATGGATCACTAGAAGTACCTTTATAGACATTTTCATAATGTACCACAAAGTTATCTCCCTTTATTTTTTTACAGTTTTTTGAAAATGTATACAAGTTGGGGGCTGCAGTGGCCGAGTGGTTAAGGCATCAGACCATCTAAGATCACTAGCCCTCCACCACTGGTTGAGAGTTAGGGAGCCTCCCTCAGGTAGTTGCCATCAGGTAGTGGCTGGAGATCCGTGGTTTTTCTCTGGGTACATTGTACTCCAGTTTTCCACCACCACCAAAACCACGCTCGTCCATAAATCACCATAACCGTTGTAAAAGGATGTAAATCACAAACAAACCAAACCAAAGATATATTTATATATATATAACACGGTACAATGTCTATTATAGCATGGAAACTGGTTTAGCATTTTTTCAATACAAAACCATAACAAAGTATGTAAACAAGGACCAGCCCTAGGAACATGGAATTGTCTTAAAACTAATTATAAATTTCAATCAAACATATTACAAAGACATATAAAAACTAAAAGGTTGGCAACACCAAGTGATACAGTGATACAATTAGAACTAAAAAATATTTACCTTGTTAAATACACTTGGAAATATTGGTAGATACAGATCACAAATATGAAAACCATTTTTTGAAAATTTTACAAAAGATTTATTTTGTATTTTCCAATACCAACAAACTCAGAAAATTCCCAAAACTCTTTGTAATTGAAAATCAAAGCTGGCGTTCAATATTCTAGAGACAGGGCAGTCTAATATACAGGGACTAGGCCTGGTTTCCATTACATTTTTTGTTAAATGAAATGTCAAGAGTTTTCTTTATTTATCAGAAGGAATGAACAAGTTCATCTTTGTCCAATACACAACTGAAGCATAACACTTTTCTGTTAACAAAACTGGAAATTTCACCAGAAAACATCACCCTATTTGTCCTTGCTGTATATTTCAGACATCACAATGTCCTTTGTGATGTAACAATTGGTTATATTATATATGTGATGATGTTGTTACACTACATACGACACTTAGTACATTTGTATAGGATAAATATATCTACAGGATAACAATGTCGCTATAAGGTATACAAACAGGTGCTGCAAAGGTTTTACATTATCACAGTCAATAGTATTGATTTGTATCATCTTTAAATCTACTGCAAATATTGGTATCATTTCTACGGTAATGTTTCTACTGTAAAAAAGGAATTCTGGTATGTGGAAATGTTCATGTTGTGACTCGTAAAATTGATTGATGAGGAAATTTTCATGTTGGCGTTGGTTCTGAAATATATACATTCTATATATCTATAATCTATAAATATATATATATATAACCTATAAATATAGATTCTATATATCTATAATATATATATATATATATATTTATATATAACCTATAAATATATACATTCTATATATCGATAACCTATAAATATATACATTCTATATATCTATAACCTATAAATATATACATTCTATATATCTATAACCTATAAATATGTTTATATTCTATATATCTATAACCTATAAATATATACATTCTATATATCTATAACCTATAAATATTGATATTCTATTTTACATATGGATATTTTTTGAAGCATTTCCACACTGCAAAAATGGCCACTTACAGACTTAATAAGAATGGAACTCTTTTGTAAAAAAATACACGTCACAATAACAATATGGTAGCATACATCCTTAAATAAAACGATAAAAAAAATCAGTATGAAATTCAAAACTGTTAGTAAGTCAGACGGACCAGTAAGCCTTAACTCTCTGGTCAGAGGGACCAGTAATCCTCAACTCTCTGGTCAGAGGGACCAGTAATCCTCAACTCTCTGGTCAGAAGGACCAGTATGCCTCAACTCACTGGTCAGAGGGACCAGTAAGTCTTAACTCTCTTGTCAGATGGACCAGTAAGCCTTAATTCTCTGGTCAGAGGGACCAGTAAGCCTTAACTCTCTGGTCAGAGGGACCAGTAAGCCTTAAGTCTCTGGTCAGAGGGACCAGCAAGCCTTAACTCTCTGGTTAGAGGGTGCAGTAAGCCTTAACTCTCTGGTCAGAGGGACCAGTAAGCCTTAATTCTCTGGTCAGAGGGACCAGTAAGCCTTAACTCTCTGGTCAGAGGGACCAGTAAGCCTTAAGTCTCTGGTCAGAGGGTGCAGTAAGCCTTAACTCTCAGGTCAGAGGGACCAGTAAGCCTTAACTCTCTGGTCAGACAGACCAGTAAGCCTTAACTCTCTGGTCAGAGGGACCAGTAAGCCTTAACTCTCTGGTCAGAGGGACCAGTAAGCCTTAACTCTCTGGACAATGTCGGCTCGACAGATGGGGCAGTCCTTGACACTGACGGAACAGCTGGCACAGCAGGCCATGTGACCACAGGGCAGGAACAGTACGCTGACTTCTTCATCCATGCATATCTTACACGTCCTCTCGTCCTTCAGTTTCTGGTTCTCCTCTATTATACTCTTTATGTCTGAAAAATGAAAACGTCCCTGTTACTATAATTTAAACATTTACACAGGATGAGCTGGATTATATCATGTTATTATTTCGTTGATTAATTTTTTATTATTATGTACCTACCTCAGAGGGATAAATAGAAAACAATAATGTCACGTCTCACACAGTGCGAAATTAATGTATTCAATGTTGGTTTAAACATATTTGTATTGCCTTGAAAATGACAAAAAGGATTGGGCACAAGTTCTTACAACTTAATAAAGCCCTCTCCTAACTTAAATACAGTTTACATACATCATAGCTGTCTTAACATGTACATTTCATTTTTTTAATTTTTAATTTTTAAAAAATTTAAGTTGAATTATTAAAATAGGTTGTTGACGACTGTTTCTCTGTACCCCGACCTACTCATAGAGAATTAACCGAGGTTTTCACACAGATAAATGTTATATTATAGTAACAGACTAAAAGAACTTAAAAGTGGTTTGTAGAATAACAGAGAATATTTAACTCATTTACCCCTGAAGACACATTTGAACTCTACCTATTCAAAGGTTGGAATAGTTCATTATGAAATTCCAGGGGTGATTGAGTTAACGGTTGACCACTGAATACCCTATATACATTTCATTAGTGAAATATAGAATTCAGTAAAGACAAGGAAGTTTCATGACATAATGGCAGAAAACAGATTTCTTATAAGCACAAAATATATAATTTTAATAGGATATTTGATCTGTTTATGAATGAGGTTTTTATAAAAAAAATATTTTTTTACCAAATTTAACATGAATTTATGTTGTATTTAAAACAAGAGGCCCATGGGCCTTAACGGTCACCTGAGTCTATAGTATTTATTTTTGTTGTTGAAATATGTACCAATTTGAGTAAAAAATAGTATAATGTTAACTTAACTTTGTCAGGACCATGAGCTGATCATTCCTAGACCAATTTTAAGTGAGATCGGCCTATTAGAACTTAGTAGCAAAATAGCGGCCATGGCAGCCAAATTGTATTTCTGATTGACCCGAAAAATAACAACACTTTGTCAGGACCATGATTCGATCATTCCTACAAAGTTTCAGTTCAATCGGCCAAGTAGATCTTTACTTTAAGTTTGAAATAGTTTACCAAAATGGCAGCTGTGGTGGCCATATTGGATTTCTGATCGACCTGAAAAATAACAACACTTTGTCAGGACCATGAGTCAATCATTCCTACAAAGTTTCAGTTCAATCGGCCTAGCAGAACTTGACTTTAAGTTTGAAATATGTTTTCAAAATGGTGGCCGTGGCGGCCATATTGGATTTATGATTGACCTGAAAAATAACAACACTTTGTCAGGACCATGAGTCGATCATTCCTACAAACTTTAAGTTCAATCGGTCCAGCAGAACTTGACTTTAAGTTTGAAATAGGTTTTCAAAATGGCGGCCGTGGTGGCCATATTGGATTTCTGATCGACCCAAAAAATAACAACACTTTGTCAGGACCATGAGGCGATCATTCCTACCAACTTTCAGTTCAATCGGTCCAGCAGAACTTGACTTTAAGTTTGAAATAGGTTTTCAAAATGGTGGCCGTGGCGGCCATATTGGATTTCTGATCGACCCGAAAAATAACAACACTTTGTCAGGACCATGAGGCGATCATTCCTACCAACTTTCAGTTCAATCGGCCCAGCAGAACTTGACTTTAAGTTTGAAATGTAAAATGTTAACGGACGACGGATAACGGACAACGGACGACGGACGACGGACGACGGACGACGGACGACGACGGACGAAAACGGATAGCAATAGGTCACTTGAGCTAAAGCTCAGGTGACCTAAAAAAGCATAATAAAAATCTATTTTTTTGTCTTTCCTTTACTGTGCATGAAATTGGATATTTCCTACTTAGAAAGGTTCATGAACTGTTAAAATTGATAGAAATACCTTTTAAAACATTTAGTGGTTTACCCTTACCCATACTTTGGGCCAAAATTCAACCTTCACTGATCACACACTAATAAGGATATACATTACCAGTAGAAAATCTGAAAATCAAAGGGGTCTAAAAAATGTAAAGGAACACTCATCCTTTTTTCTAAGAAAACACCAGTTATTGGTGTCTGAACGGTTACCTGTGCTTCCTTCACTTGACCCCGATGTGGAAGTTGCCTGCGCAGCACTTGAACCAGACGAGCTAGGGCCTGCTGCCTGCGGACTTGATGAACTTGCTGATGGCTTTGATGTTGACGAAGACACATCTAAAGTCTTAGGTGCAGTTTGTTGTGTATCGGTAGAGCCTAGTGGAGGCATCCCTGAAGAACCTGTCGACATGCTTGGCAGGCCTGTCGGTGCATTAGGCGTTGATGAGCTTGCTGCACCACTCTGGAATAGGTTAGGCCCTGATTGTACATCAGTATCATTTTCCATTGGTACTCCTAAAAGACAATCAACATAAATAATAGAACTTCACAAGGTTAGGAAAATGTATGCAAAGTAATTCCCCCCAAAATATGAACCAAAACAATATGTTAAGAATAGGTTTCAATCGCAACAAGCTCAGGATAAGTTAAAAAAATGTTTTAAACAAAATGTTGATACAATGAAAATTTTAGAAATTGCCCTCTTTCTTACCATTATATTTTTGATTACAAGTATATTTAAATTATGTAAAGATGAACAAACATTTTTTAAACTGCTGAAAACAGTGTTCTCAGAAGTGTTTTTTTTCTATGGAAAGATAAAAACTGACCAATTGAATTTGAGCATTTTGTTTGAAAACCAAGAAAAAGAGTCTTTTTTTTCAAAATGGGAATATTAATATATATAGCAGGTATACAGACTGTTTTGAGTTATATACCCAGTGTGACATTTATTACACTTTATACCATACCTTGGCTTTGTGCTTGTTCAAGGTCCTACAAAACAATAAAGTCTGGCATCAAATATCCAACCAGTATGTTTAATACGGCAGCAAAGGTTTGAGTGTTAAAATTACTTAAGTACTTCTATCACAAGGTGCTGATGGATATAGGCTTGACTCTCAGAATGTGGGTGCAGAGAAGTCCAAATTAGGATTGAAATGTATTTCGTATGTATTTACATTTGCTCCGCATCCTTCCATTGCAATGCATTGAAAAGGCAAATGTTGTTATGGTCCTATAGCAACATTTGCTATTGTAATGTCATCAATCTCTATATAGTGATGTCATCAATTTCATTGATGCCAACACTTAATTTGCTGTTCAAAGAACTGTTTGAAATACCTAAATAAAGCATAACTATGTATATAATTATATACTCTATCAAAATGTAAATATAAATAATGAATATTTAGCAATTATTGTTATGGTCCTATAACACATATTCCTATTGCCGACAAACTTACAAAAAGCCCTACCAACAATAGCAATGTGTGTTATAGGACCATAACAACATTTGCTTAAACATTCATTGCTTAATTATTGAAAAATTTGAAATGGAAATTTGGTTGAATTGTTTCATGACTTACCAGTTGAACCTGACGTATGAAAGGCTCCCCTTTGGAGAGCTTAACCCAAGGACAATCCTTGAACCACTTGGCATGCTCCGTCCAAATGTCATCTCCCATGTCCCAGTCATACAGAATTCCACCACAGAAGAAACACTTACACCTGTCACCCTGCCCTGTAAACATTGTAACTCATATTTTACCAAGAAAGGAAGTCCACAATTATAACCAAAAATTGTTTAAATATTTAAATTTGTCTCGAAAAATAAAAACAAGAATATTTTCAGAACAATTATGGAAAATTGACATAACGTGGTGAGGCTACATTTATATCTTTCTTTCCCAGTTTAATTTCTTTTACATATACATGTAGCAAAGATTCATATCCAAATGCAAGCACAAATGTAATTATTCTCAAATCAAAAAAATATTTCAAATTTGTTCCTGGATTATAAAACACCTTCTGAAGGCTTCAAGCATGCATGTATAGTATTCCGTCTATGCGTATTGCAGAGTTATTTTCTCTTGGGAGCAGGTATTGATTGTTAAGTCATTGGTTTGTGTGAGAAAATTACGTCGTTTTCTCAAAAATTGATGACGTTACTCTCATAAACAAATGATGTAACAATCAATACCTGCTCCCAAGAGAAGATAACTCTGCAATACGCAAAGACAGAATAGTGTCATGTACATCCATATCTGGATGTTGGGAAAGCATGACAACTATTGCAAACAACAGAAAGGGCTGGGTAATGGTTGAGTTAGAGAGAAAGGATGATGGGTGGATTTATTTAATGTCTTACCAAGATAGAAGAGCCCTCCCTTAGCCAGGGCCGCTGGTTTCTGACTTAGCTGTGAAGGCCAGCCCTTAAACGTTGTAAGTCGGTTGCTTTCTAAGGCATACTCTGGGTACTTGGGTCGACTGGTGCCTGGGATATCTGCTGGATGTGTAGGTGCCTGGTACTGGAGAGGGACGTCCGGGTGTCCGAAAGTAAACCCACTGTCACTGATGTTGATCAGTCCACAGTGCTGTGGTACCACTGCCGATCGGAACAGCGGATTGTTCCGTCTGGAAATCACCCATGGACACTGCGGAAAATGTGTGCTGTGTTCATTGGCCACATTATCTCCTGGTTCCCAACTGCTGAGTATACCCCCACAGTGTGTGCACTGTACTCTGTCCTCCAGACCAGTATAGTAAAACCCATCATCACACAAGTCCTGTGGGCTGACCTGGGCACTGACAGGCCAGTTCAAATAGCTGTTCAAGCGCAACTGTGGATCATTTCTCAAGCGTGTCAGTCTCTGATATGGGGTCTGAGGTACTACATCCATGATTCAAGGAAACATAAAGCCCAAACTACAGCATTTTACTCAAAAAAAGGGGAAAAAAAGGACTTCACCAGCTTTACATAAATATAAGTCTATATCAGGCGAAACTAAGTTATAGTGAAGACATATGCACAAGCCCCTTGTCACTGATTTCAGTGCATGTCAGGATAAATCAACAGGTGTTTGTTGTTGAATCTGAAAAAAGAAATCAGCAAAATTACCACAAATGATACATGTGGTATTGCCTTATATTATAAAATACATTATGAGATTAATGTCAGCAAAGTAAGGCAAATCTGCACCACTTTTGATTTTTCACTTTTAACATCATACATATTTAACAGGAAAGAGAATAGTGTGCTTCCACTGGGGATCGAACCCTCGATCTCAAGGATCCTAGTCGGACGCTCTACCACTGAGCTAAACAGGTTGGGCACAACGGCGCATATGGGTAATAATCCCGCATTTGGGTAACATTTTTGTATGTTATGGTTGAATGCACTTCAAATCTACTTTCACTATCCTATATAAAAAAAATAGAAATTTTGTAGTTCACTTACGTTATTGAAAATCGCCGTATCTATTGGTTATTACAAACAACTTTTGGTTGAATAGCTTTTGGTTTTAAAAGTATTTCACGACCTTTAAAGCCTTAGAAAAGTCGGGACATCTAAAATCATGAAAATGTCAAAACACGAAAAAACGTTCAACCAAAAGTTGTTTATAATAAACATATAAATAGCAATGTTTAATAACGATAGTGAAGTACAAAATTTTGATTTTTTATATAGGATAGTGAAAGTAGATTTGAAGTGCATTCAACCGTAACATACAAAGATGTTACCCAAATGCAGGATTATTACCCATATGCGCCGTTTTGCCCAACCTGCTAAAGGGATATTCCCTCTAGCTCGAAGGCGACCTTAATCCTATGTACAATTAAAACCTGCCATACAAATATATATCTTATATTTGTAACAGGAAATAATGCAGTGGAACCCTGCAGACCAGGATTCAAACCTGGGACCTATGATCAGGTCTCAGACAGATTCATGTCAGTTGATTGATGCAGGCATAAGTTTGCATAGGTCTAAGTCCATTTCTATGATATATTGTAACAGAGGTGCTTTTTTCCAATGCCTCCCTGCAGCACCCCTGGTTTACTAATTAACGCTCTATATATACATAACTCTTTAGTTGAGTTGGTAGGAAGTAGCTAGTATTTTGTACCAGGGTGACATAATGATATTGAAACTGATCAATATTTAACATGACTTACAATTTCTCAAGTTAAACATATCGATGTTGATTGTACTTACGGTAGTCTATACATTAACGGCAAGAGATGAAAATCAAAGTTCAATATCGACGGTTTGGGAATTGTTTTTCCTCTTAGAAGACGAAAGTCAGTATGATTAAGTAAAGATCAGATAGGAAAGATCATGTCGTGGCATGACTTAATTAATTAATTAGACTGGCATTTCGTACATTATAGGTGATTACCCTTTGGTGTCTACATAAGACTAGTTGCTGGCTGAATGCCATGCTTGGCGCATGAATAAATATGAATGTTGACATATTTCAAACATCAAAATCTTAAATTTGCTGCCTTGTAAATTATATTGCATAAATGCATGCATAAAATAATTTCTAGTGTAAAAATGCATGTGATTTAAACATAACACTAGGCGACATTAACTTTTATAAAAGCACAGGTATCAAGTTCTGTGGTTAGACCTAAGAGAAAAATAACCATGGAAGCTGTGGATTTTCGACTTCCGGTTATTTTTTAACTTCCGGTTATAGAAATAAAACATTAAAATACTCAGAAATACACTGAGGCTTACGTATACACGGTCAGAATAATAAAGACGAAATTAAAGTTTGGCATTTAACAAAATTCTTTGAATGTTGGAAAAATAGTTGCAGACACTAACGTTATGCATTCTATTATCCGCGTCTAGATATGTTTGCTATATCGTCTAGGAAACTCACCTGCATTGTAAAATCCCTACTGTTGTGATGAAATAAAGTTCGATCCGCTCTGATAAATACTCCGAAACAATCGAATCGCAGAAAGAATTCAACTCCCAGCTCTCCCTCAGAGGTGGGATCGGGGATGACGTCATGAATCGTATTTTAAGCATAGGGGAATTCCAAGTTGATTATGAAGTTATAATTAAACATAAGGCCCAATGGGCCTGACTCGCTCACCTTGTATTAATCTTACACTTGTAACCTTAAAAGTGGACTCAAATACAACTACAGGCAGAATATCAGTGTTTGATTCATAAGAACCTATTAAAAGATTTAAACATATGACGCCTGTGACATTGAATATTGAACAAGGACATTAGGTTTAACAGAATGTATCGTCTTCCAACCCAGCATGCTTCTAGCAAAATATCATAACCCTGGAAATTTTGGTTATACAGATCAACCTCATTTAAAGATTTTAAACATATGTGACCCCTGTGACCTTGAATTCAAGCACCCTAGGCCTTTGGGTTATTCATAAGAAGTTGTTTAAAAGTTTTAAACATATTTGACCCCTGTGACATTGAATATAAGTCAAGGTCATTCATTTGAACAAACTTGGTAGCCCTTCATCGGAGCATGTTATTGGCCAAGTTTAAGCACCCTAGGCCTTTGGGTTATTCATAAGAAGTTGTTTAAATGTTTTCAACATATTTGACCCCTGTGACATCGAATATAAGTCAAGGTCATTCATTTGAACAAACTTTGTAGCCCTTCATCCCAGCATGTTACTGGCCAAATATCATCACCTTAGCTCTCTCGGTTATTCATAAGAAGTTGTTTAAATGTTTTAATCATATTTGACCCCTGTGACCTTGAATATAAGTCAAGGTCATTAATTTAAACAAACTTGGTAGCCCTTCATCCCAGCATGTAACTGGCCAAATCTCATTATCCTAAGCCTCTTTGTTATTCAGAAGAAGTTGTTTAAAGGTTTAAACATATTTGATAATTGTGACCGTGAATATTTGTCAAGGTCATTTATTTTTAACAAACTTGATAGCCTTTCATCTCATCATGTTATGGGCCAAATATCATCATCCTGCACCTTTTGGTTATTCAGAAGTTGTTAAAAAGTTTCAAACATATTTGACCCTGTGACCTTAAATATAAGTCAAGGTCATTTATTTAAACAAAATATGTAGCCTTTCATCCTAGTCTGTTACTGACCAAATATCAACATCCTGGGCATTTTGGTTATTCTTCAGAAGTTGTTTCAAGTGTTTTTAGACATTTGACTCTGTGACCTTGAATATGAGTGAAAGTCATTCATTTGAACAAACTTTGTAGCCCTTCATCCTAGCATGCTTCTGACCAAATATCACCATATTGGTCCTGTTGGTTATTCATGATCATCAGAAGTTAAAACAAGAGGCCCAGAGGGCCTGTATCGCTCACCTGTTTCTTTTGTTACATGCAACTGACATATAGGTAACTGAAGACCGAATTTGGTAACTAGAACACAAGACATTTTAACATCTTTTAAACGGTTCTGAAGATATTGTTGTTTGAGACTTAAAATTTTAATTTTAAAGCTTTTAACCCATATTGACATTTGAATCCCGATTTGCACTTAAAGTTGACCTTTGACCTCATTACTGTAATGAAGAAAACAATTCACACAGCTGGTCTACATAAAATACCTAAGTGTCATGACTAGTCCAAATGGTTCTTAGGATATTGTTGTTTGAAGTTTTTAACATATTTGACCCCTGTGAGCTTGAAAGTAGGTTAAGGTAATTTTAATTAGGAAACTTTATAGCACTCCATCCCAGGTACCTACTGGCTAAATATCGAGACCCTGAGCCTAATGGAACTTGAGAAGGAGATTGTTAAAGCTTTTAACCAAAGTTGACATTTGACCCCAAACTAGCACTTAAAGTTGACCTTTGACCTCTCAACTGTAACGAAAAAAATATTTGCACTGCTGGTTTACATAAAATACCCAAGTCCCAAGTATCATAACTCTAGTTCGAATAGTTCTTAGGATATTGTTGTTTAAATTTTTTAACATATTTAACTTTTAACCAAAGTTGACATTTGACCCCCGACGAGCATTTCAAGTTGACCTTTGACCTCATAACTGTAATTGAAAAAAATATTCGCACTGCTGTTCTTCATAACATACCCAAGTATCATGCCTCTAGTTGAAATGGTTCTTAGAATATTGTTGTTTGAAATTTTTAACATATTTTACCACTGTGACCTTGAAAGTAGGTCAAGGTCATTTTAATGAGGACATTTTTAGCACTACATCCCAGGTACCTACAGGCCAAATATCATGACCCTGGGCCTAATGGAACTTGAGAAGGAGATTGTTAAAGCTTTTAACCAAAGTTGATATTTGACCCCCGACTAGCATTTAAAGTTCACCTTTGACCTCATTACTGTGATTGAGAAAAATATTTGCACTGCTGGTCTACATAACATACCCAAGCATCATGACTCTAGTTCAAATGGTTCTTAGGATATTGTTGTTTTAAATTTTTAACATATTTGACCGCTGTGTCCTTGAAAGTAGGTCAAAGTCATTTTAATGAGGAAACGTTATAGCACTCCATCCCAGGTACCTACTAGCCAAATATCATGACCCTAGGTCCTACAGTTCTTCAGAGGAAGTCAATCAAACGAAAAAGTTGACGGACGGACGACGGATGCCACAGTACAACATAAGCTCACCTGGCCCCTTTGGGCCAGGTGAGCCAAAAACTTTTAAGACATTTGACCCCTGTGACCTTTAATATAAGTGAAGGTCATTCATTTGAACAAGCTTGGTAGCCCTTCAACCCAGCATGCTACTGGCCAAATATCATCACCCTGGGCATTTCGGTTATTGAGAAGAGGCTGTTTTAAGTTTTTAACATATTTGACCCCTGTGACCTTGAATATAAGTGAAGGTAATTTATTTTAACAAACTTGGAAGCCCTTCATCCCAGCATGCTACTGACCAAATATCATCATCCTGAACTTATTTTAAAGTTTTAAACATATTTGACCCCTGTGACCTTGAATATAGGTGAAGGTCATTTATTTTAACAAACTTGTAACAAACACTAATGTTTTTGAGTTGTAATTCAATTCATCAAGTCACTCAGCCCAAATTCATCATGATTCATTATGATTAATATCTGACATGACAACAACAACAACAATGACTGGCTACAGAGGATCAACTGCATCTTACTCAAAATAATCTTATGTAGTCCTGAAAACATGTCTTTTCTTTTCAAGTTCTGAAGACAGTTCACACGTGGTAAATTACATTTACAAGCAATCTACAGGGAATTTAATGGCTTACCCTTGAAAATCATATACATTTAACAAGCAAGGCAAAAATACATCATCGAATCGGTATATTCTGCTACACAAATAAAAAAAAAATGTAACTTTCTTTTCATGACATTTATTAAAACATAAAGATGAAATCATCATACTTTAAACATGTGGGGATAAGTTGAGTATAATCTCTGATGCCACATTCTATAAAATTTCACGCTCGATAACTAGGCTGTACAATTTCGAACGGATGGAATTCCACCTTATGCTGCAATCTTCTGATAAGATTGGCATACAAATTTGATATTGATAATGTAGTTATAACAGTACCTTAACATGTACCAATAATGAACAGATACAATATTCTACTGTATTACTTCATCTGCATCTGGGCAGAAATCGATGCAGTGAATAGAAACTACCCTTCTGATTGGTCAATATACAATGTACTGTGTGATATTACTTGTAACAGATTGATAGAATTCTCGCTTTATTTCTTTTAAAAAATGTAATAAATCAGTCTACATTTCTCTTTCCGAGTTGGATTACAAACATGTTAGAAGAGTATGAAAAACTGCAGTTACAGGAACATACAATGTAGTCCCAGGTATAGCTGATACAATACTCCTCTACGTAAAACTGACCAATATTACATCAACCAATATAACATCACAATGTTCTATTAAAATCTGTCGCTGGCTTCCACCTCACATTCATAAAACACACTGTTCCTCAAAGCTGAAGCTTGGATACAAGTTGAACACATCAGCAGACTTCATGCAATAAAATCCAGCGGCCGGTTGAATCCACCCCTTCTGTTCATGTACTGTCTATAATAAATAAATAGGAAAGTCCTCATCATGTCTTACAGATTTCCAGATTGCTATTTGAAACATCTAAATTATTGCATATAATTTCGACAAATATTTGAACTTGTATGAAAGCATCTTTATCATACAGGCAATAATTTAATTTCAACAATTTATATTCTATCTCTCGATGTTGAAATTTCTCTCAGCATCAATGTCATCATTTTATCAAGAAGTAAGGAAATGTTGGCTATAATTGTAATTGGTATATCAGATGGAACAAACCTGTATCGCCGTTTCCTTGCAGTGTTTGCCAGAAATATGTCATTTCCTGCTACTTTTTTCCCCTAAAAAATAAGGAAAAGGACAGGTATAGAACGGTGTTCTGTTCTGACATCTGGTGAAAAACTTTTACACATAACCACCATGAATTAAGTCTACAATCGATGCAGCAATCCATATGGATCAATGGAAAAACTTTATCTTATGATGAAAATTTCAATCGGTCATAGCGTTGTTTTTCCTCTTTTATAATTCCTTAAACAACAGCCCTGCTAACAGACTCCTAATTATGATAAGACTGTTGCCATTCGCCAAGCTGTTTGTTTGACAAACGTTTTTTATTAAGTATTAATAAGCACAATTTTTATCAATGGCGCCATGTGCATGTACCGATAATCATATACATGTATGATGACACTCAAAAAGATATGTCGCAAGTAAAACTGACATCATTAACTCCAGCTGAAAAGTTAAAAACGACACCATTTTCCTCCCATTGAATCATTTTCTGAGAAATTACATTATTTGTATGTTTAACTACCATTATTATTAAGGATTACACACTAAGCGTTAGTTATGTTGATACTCAAATTGATATGTCTTAAGTAAAACGGACATAATGAACTCAAGTTTAAAGTGAAAATGACAGATTTTTTTTCTTTCCATTGAATGATTTTCTGAGAAAATACATTAATTACATTAGAAATCAGCTGATTGCATGTAACTTTCATGAATATGCTGAAGCTCATTAAAAAAAAGAACATTCATACATACAATAACTGGAAACCTGTTTGCAATCCACTATATTTGATATATATTTATTATTTTCGAATAACAAAATCTTTCCTTAGTAACAGCATGTGAATATGTTTTGAGACCATGTTTATAAAACTGTGTGACTAAGGTAACTTTTTGAAGTACAGACTCGTTAATGAGATATTAACCTTTGTGGTATCAAACGAAACAAAACCCATTGCTTTCATCATGGCCGCCTCTGAGGTCACCGCTGCACTTTCTTGAGGTTCTTCGTCTTCATCATCATCCTCTATCTCGTATACTTCAATGTCCGAGGCATAATCCGCAACTACGACAGAATTTCACATAATTACACATTCCTGGAGGAGCTGAACAATCTCAATATAAATGTGTATTAGAAATGGTTTGTGCATTATGATTACTAACATACATTTATATATAGTTTCGTACTGATTCCAATCCATTTTGTACATATCCCCTGTCAACTTTATACATTCCATCATATATTTATGTGGTAGACAATTATTTATATGTATAACCAACATGATTGTTTATGACGGTGAAGTGTAGAACATAGTATTTGGAATGCGGAAAAATCTTTCACTAAGACTGAAGTGCCCTCGTTACATATATTCCACCATAATACATTTGCTGATTTTTACAAAATGGAACAAGAGTACTGGGGGCGGAACAATATACATTGAAATAAGATCTGCATCATTTGAAGAGTGGTTATGCTATAAAAAATGTAGAAGAAAATCTCCGGACAAAAACTCAAATACTGAAATGAACAAATGGCAATAACTTTTGCAAAAATTGTTGAATCAAATTTCTTTTAATGGAGACACAACTTCATATCATGATTATAATGTATACCAAGTTTCAAAGAGATCTGTGTAAAGATGTAGGAGGAGTTTGCCGGACAAACAAAAGTTTACGCTGGACGGACGGACAACCCCATACCATAATACTTCCGTCAAATTTGACGGGTGTATACAAAGAATTGTATATCACAATTGATCAGAAAATTGGAAAAAAGGTTGTATTAGTATGGGCATCATTTTAATTTTAGACAAAAAGAACAATGTTATGGCAACATAAAGAATTGAGTCAGAACTAATATTTGAGTTCTATAATACAAAGGTAGATAATTCTTAATTCATAAGATATTTCCCAATCTTCAAAGACATAAAATTGTTCTTTCAATAAAAAAATAAAATGAAAAAAAATACAGAAATACATCTTGAAACATATTATTTAAATGACTTTCTTCATCAATTTAGAAACGCAATTTTGACAAATTATTGGACTGTTATCCACTGAAATATTAGCACTACTACCTGGAGGTTTGACTTGATACTGGTCAACTTCTTGTGATTTTTGTCTTTCTGATGTATGCTCTCTGCTCTTTCTCTCCCTGAAATTAAAAACAGCTACACTTAATAACTTATTACTAATAATCTATACATGAAAGTGTGCAAAAACATCATAACTAAGTCCTCATTTAAACAAAGACTCCAACTTCATTTTAGAATAGATCTGTTTCTCTAGTCAACATAAATGTAGCAGGTTCTTCCTCAAGTATTCCTCTTGAATGAAATTTAACAAATATATTAATCAGCTTGATATACTGTGGGTTTTGTAGAAAGGTAAATGCAGCACAACTAGTAGGTGTTTATGTGTGATGTTTCAATGACCAGCTATAGTACGGTACACACTACACTGAATCGGCTACGCTATAAGTATATGAACACTAAGTCGATATACCGTAAATTTGCTGGTATAGTGCGCAGGTACGTTTTTGGGGTCAGATTTGAAGATTTATTTATTTATTTATTTTTTTGGAAAAAAATCCTAAAAATAAACGATATCAAACTGGAAAAGTAGCATCAAAGGTAGCTTGGTGTTTATAACGCCGATTAATTAATGATTGATTAGCTGGAAACATGTCCATGATGATCCCAATTTGAAAAGACGAGGAATTCATTTTCTACATACTTATATACCAATCCAACCAGAAGGAAATGTTTAGAATTTCATATACAGGTATTGGCAAACCAGTGAGCAAGTGTGAAACGTATACAATTATATATAACCCTGAGAAAATGTATTGTCTAGTCAATGTCAACAGTAGTCCAACCTTGGTCAATGTTGATTGGAATGATTTTCATTCCCAGGGTCTGATTTCTAAACAGGGTTTTAAAATTGTTGCATCATTTCAATACTGTTTATATCCAGGTATCCGTAAGTACACTATTATCATCTTTGATCCATTGATTGTAACACAGTATTAGATATTTGAGTGTAAATCTACCCGGTAATTAAAAGAAAGAGCAATGTGAAAGACAAGGTGGTAGGATCATTACTCTTCTTCTAAATAACAGGACAATTCAGCAGAGAATTTCATTTCGGTGGACATCACAAGTTTGTACAACATGCTGAGTTTTACTGAATCACGTCCAAATCCAAAGTTTTCTGTGTTACTGATTAGGTTCTTTCCTTGAAGTTCTTCCTCTATGACATGAATCAGTGGCAGCTCTACACCTACCTGTGTCGACTAACAGATGTTGGTGACCTTGACCTGTGCCTTTCCCTTGACCTGCGCCTTGGTGATCTGGACCTTGACCTACTTTTGTGACGGCCTACAATAATTTTGAAGTGATGAAACATTATATGGTACATGTAACTATGTATACAACAAAGTTCAAATGTGTATGCAACAGCTTCACTCCATTCCCAAAACATGGCTTAGGAATAAACAGACAGTTCATCACATTACTGACCTATTTACTATGTCATACGGCCAGGTCATAAATATGGTATTAGGCCAAATAAAAATGTATGTTTCCTGTTTCGGCTCCCCAAAAAATAGGGTAGGTAGGTAGGAAAATCATTTTACTTTATTTGTTTATTTTCTTTTTTCTTTCTTTCTGGTGAAGTACATCTCCTGATTACCTCTGTGAATGTTAAAAATATGTTAATATTTCAATAAAGTATGAATGGCACCAAATATATCATTTTTATTCATGTTAAATATTATTTGACCCACCTAAATGTTTATAGAATAACCAACATAATTTACAGTAGTGCTGCCACCAGTGTTGCATTTCTAAATTAACCCTACTGTCGGACACTAGTTTTTAATAAATCTAAACTCCTCTGATGGTCACCAGTGTTACGTTTTCTTTTGTATTACTGATGCTTTCTGTTCTCAATTTCCACTGCCACCAGTTCAAATTAATTGAATAACAAAAAATAAGTACATTTATATTTACACAACAAGTTTTTAATCCATCATAAAATACACAAGTCTTCACCATTGTGAACTCAATCTCTCTACTCCAAACTTACACAGATCTACCAACTACAGCTTAAACTACTAGTATTACTAACTTCCTAATTTTCACTTAAACTCTAACTTTCTAATTCTCCTCTATATCTCTAGACCTCTCAACTCGTCTGCCTAACTCAACCTCAGCTCCTTCCTCAAGACTAACTCAACTCCCTCTTCTCCTCCTTCGACTTCCAAGCTGAGTTACCTTACTATCTGTCCCTTAATTAGCAAAATCCTACTACACTGAAAATGTTGATACATTAAAATTGTTGATGCTGCTGAAATCCTACTAAAATTGGACCCCTACGCTACTAGGTTAAACTTGCCATAAATTCTGCTAAATTTGACTACAGTCTGTCTGCATCAGGTTGAGGCACAACAACTAATATCACAGACATATCCTATCCTATCCTATCATACCCCCCCCCCCCCCCCCCCCCCCCCCCCCCCAGGCCTTACACATGTGTAATAAAATCTAAAGGTGCTGAGATTGGTCAAGACAATGTGTTCCCCATATCATACTAATTACTATTATATTTATATGTCACATCTAAGATCAGTTGTTATGAAAAATATGTCTGAATTATACTTATCTCACTAGCTGATCACCAAACTGTTACAAAACATTTAAAGGCAAATCTAAAAGGGAACATCAATCGCAACAAGCTAGGGACTGATTTTCTTGTTTTTAAATTTTATTGGTGTGGTCAAACATTGGGCTTCATTAGGACCTGATGAAGCCCAACGTTCGGGCGAAACCGGTAGACCAGACCAATAAACACCAGAAAACCAGTCCCTAGTTTGTTGCGATTGATGTACCCTTTCAGATTTGCCCTTACTCTCCAATCGCCCTGCATTCCTTCTGGTATTCAAGCAAAGGACAACAGGACTAACCTATCCGCAACTATTCACCTCGGCATTGGCTCTACCCTAGGACTTAAGGTTAATTGTCTATAAACATTTGTTCCTATAGGGAACACAATAATAGTATAATACTAGCAAACTAAAAGGTCACATTTTTTCCCAGCTTTCGAGCTTAGCCCTTCATCAGGGATTAAATGTCACCGTACCTCTATGTCACATCAATCATGACAAACAGGATGCGTAGCTATAGTTTATAACAGGAACCAACAGTAACTGTATAACTGCAAAGGTCCGGTGACATTTAATCCCTGACGAAGGGCTAAGCCAGAAATCTTGGAAATAGAGTGACTTTTTAGTCTGTTAGTATTTACATATTTATGTTCCCTGAATTACACATAGGTGTAATACAATACACGGTATACCATTGCAGTGTTGTTGTGATCAGCACCCAGCAACTTGTCAGCAAGTTACAACACTGCAGTTGTGACAGCCTACGTTTTGTTGACATCAGCTATATACAATTTAACATGGGAAGCCTTAAACTGTCATTTTAAATTGACCCTTTTTTCTGAATGCCTGCCTACACCAAATGTTATTGAAGCATGAGATAAGAAGTTTATTTCTGGTACAGGTTCATTTCTGATCCTCTCTACACCAGACTCAAAATAGTATACACATATCAAATTACAAAGTTGTAATGTTCACATGTAATTACCACATCTTGTTAGTGATGGATTTCAGATGTACAATTATACAAAAGTTCCAGTGAAGCCCGAAGATTATCTAGTTTATTCTCTGAAGTGGTTATGTTTTGGTGCCATTACTATATGTTCTCGGGTAGGTTGTGTTCCATATATGAACTACTCACAGTGAGGAAGAAGTTCTGTCATGTATCGTTAATTAATGCAAGTCTTGACAGGTGTATATATATACATGATTACAAATTCTACATATGTTAACCTTGGGTATATTATAGGCCACTCTAAAGACAGGGGTCGACACTAACACTAGTCCCCTAGTCCTGGACTAGTAGATTTCAGCAAGGACTAGTGAATCACCTAACCTAACTGGTCCTTTAGACTTAAGCTTGTGAAAAATATGATTATAAAATAAGAATATTTCTTTTTAAAATTCAGAAAACTGCTTAAAATGATTTGCATGATTATAAGTGTCAAAATTTCTCTAAATCTTCACCATATTTTATGACAGTAATTATCTAGGTCCCCTCAGTCGATTACTCTTTATGTCTCGTGCTGTAGATCGCGATATTTTCTTTTCAGGAAATCTTGGACTAGGTATACATTGATAAAGGACTAGTAAATAATCTATTCAACAAGTCCTGTGGACTACCAATCAATATAAATGTTAGTGTCTAACCCTGAAAGATTCAATAAAAAGGTTAATGAGCCAGATCTAGAAGTGATAGATCAATCCTCTGGAATTAACTATATAGGTGGTCTGGTAAATGCAATCCACTGATCATTATTCGTTTTGTTTTCGGAAGTGACTTTCAAATGTCTTTTTACTTACGTCTTCTTTCTCTCGAATGTCTTCTCTCTGGAAACAAATATACTTTTATTAAAATGAGTGATGAAATATCTGTAGGTTTTCAGTCAATAACCTTCAATAGTCATTCCTATATGATAATGATCAGAATATAAAACTGCTTTGGGAGGAAACAGAGATGATGCCTGATAAGGAAAGCATATTTTGGATGTATTTTCAAGGTTATGGAAAGAAACTTATTTGAGATTTAGCTATTAGCCGTCAATTCATCATTTGGACGGCCACTTTTCAAAAATGACGGGTAGAAATATTAAAAGACAAGTTGCATGACGGGCGAATATTCTGTCAAAAATCGACAATTTACTTATATTTAAAGACATCTAAATGATTCGGTTTTTGACATAACGTGAGTAAAATCATCGTTGTTCTGTAGTCATGAAACCACTTAATACTATTATACAGTACAAACACTTCATATTAATGTAGTCAGCACCTGTGTACGAACGCTGTAAACAGACTTACAACAATGTAACGTTACAGTAACGATCAGATCTTGGATTGGATTTGAGTTACACTAAAGCCAATAAAATGTCTAATATAACTATCAGAAAATATTAGACCATAAATACATGTATCACGTGTAGATATTTTACAGTCCTAAATATTAATTGGTCGTAATTACCTCTTTTAGGGGACCGAGAGCGGCTTCTTGGCATCTTGATTTCGTTCAGAAAATGAAACTGCCGCTTACGTCTTTTACAACATTGTCGCTTATATCGTTAACAACATTGTCGCTTAAGCTATTTAAATGAGCATTAAAAAACAAACGGTTGACATAAATTAGGTCGGATTTAGTAATCTGATGCTGCTTTCAGGCTTGCAAGGTCTGCATTAACATTTGCAGGTCCGCCAGGATTTATACCCGAAATTGTTATATTTAACAAGAGGCCCAGAGGGCCTGTATCGCTAACCTGGCTAATAAAGCAACCATGGGAAATTATTTTTTCATAAAATCCCTCCTATGGTGCAGAAGAGGAAATATTTTAAAGATTCAAACCTCTAATTTCCCTTTTGTACCCAGCAACTCTCAGCCCTCAGGGAGTCCAAACCCACCGTTTATACAAAATTTAGTCCCCTTTGCCTATATATATATATAAGGATGCTAACAGAGTTAAGAAGTTTCGTGCAAGCGGGGCCAGGTTAAATTAGGATAAAATCCCTTAATTCGTATGGTAGAAGATAGATTTCAAAGGTTTTACCTCTATTTCCCCTATATGACCCCACCTCTCTGCCCCAAGGTGGATCGAGACACCCAATGTTTATACAAAACTAAGTCCCCTTTGCCAAAGGATGCTCAAGACCAAATTAGGATAAAATCCCTAAATCCTAACAGTAGAAGAAGGATTTTAAAGGTTTTACCTTTATTTACCCTATTGGGCTCTGCCCCAGGAGAACCGTGCTTACTATGTTTACAAAATCGAGTACCCTTCACCCAAGGATGCTCTACACCAAATTAGGATTAAATCCCTTAAATATCCCTACTGTAGAAGAGGCTAACCTGGATAATAAAGCAACCATGGGAAATTGTTCTTATTACATAAAATCCCTCCTACTGTGCAGAAGAGGAATATTTTAAAGATTCAAACCTCTATTGGGCCCCGCAACTCTCAGCCCCAAGGGGGTCCACACCAACCGTTTATACAACATTGAGTCCCCTTGACCCAACAGTGCTCCAGACCAAATTGGGATGAAATTCCTTAATCCCTAATGTAGAAGAAGGATTTGAAAGCTTTTACCTCTATTTCCCCAATTGGACCCCTCTTGTCTGCCCCAAGGGGGGCCACACCCACCGTTTATACAAAATTGATTCCCCTTGGTCTAAGGATGCTTCAGACCAAATTAGGATAAAATCCATTAATTCCTAAGGTAGAAGAAGGATTTTAAAGGTTTTTACCTGTATTTTCCCTATTGACCAAATTAGAATAAAATAACTTCATTCCTACAGTAGAAGAAGGATTTTAAAGGTTTTTACTTCTATTTTCCCTATTGGGCCCTGCAGCTCTGCCCCCAGGGGATCCACACCCACCATTTATACAACACTGAGTCCCCTTGGCCCAAGGATGCGCCAGACCAAATAAGGATAAATCCCTTAACCCCTTTGGTAGAAATAGGATTTTAAAGGTGTACCTCTATTTCCCCCACCCCTCTTCCTCCAGGGGGGTCACACCTACTGTTTAGAAAATATTGAGTCCCCTTCCCCCAAGGATGCTCCAGACCAAATGAGGATAAAATCCTTTAATTCTTACAGCAGAAGAAGGATTTTAAAGGTATTACCTCAATTTCCCCTATTGGGCCCCGCAACTCTGCCCCCAGGGGGGCCACACCCACCTTTTATACTAAATTGAGTCCCCTTGGCTTAAGGATATACTCCAGACGAAATTTAGTCCAAATCTACAAGGCCGTTTTCAAAGGAAATTTTGACGGACGGAAGACGGACGCTGCGCCATGGCTAAAAACGGACAAACCGATTGTTCCCAATAAACAAACAGGCCCTTAGTAAATTTGAAGCTGATCACATCGATATTAATTATTATCTGTTTCAATTTCAAGGAATTCATATATACATGTAGAAATGGGAGATGACTGCGTTTCCATCGGGCCCATTATTCTTCATCTTCATCTTTAAACCTTCCTCCGTCAATATTTACTACACAGATGCTTAAATACTCTCCCGTGAACTAGCACAGTATATTTCTCTTAACTCAACAATTCATGAACTATCACTGGGAAATACGATTCTCTATGAAGTTTAACTTTACATTGTACAAGTGAGTGTATGGAATGACAACTCTTGGTAGGCATGAATAAAAGATTTAGAATATTACAAATCTCCTTAATTAAGGAAGCTCAGTAAAAGCACTTCTAGATTAAAAGAATGTTTAACAAAAAGACAATTTAGTGACAAAATAAAATTACTCACAATGCCTTTATAAGAAAAGTCATTTCAAAGTGAGTCAATTTTATTAGTTAATTTGACCAAACTTAATATATCTAGTGCTCCACTAATATTATTTAAAACTTACTTAAATGTTTAAACATGGTGTCATTGAAAACAGGTCAAGTTCATCTTTTTGAACAAACTTGAAATTCTTTCATCTTAGCAATTACAACATTAAGCAAAATTAATGAGTGAGACAACTGGCTGACAACGGCTATCAGATGAAGTTGTTTGAAGATATTTGAATTTTACACCTCTGTGACATTGAAAATTGGGTAAATTTGAATACACTTGTAACTTTCTACTCCAGTAGACTGCAGTCTTAATCTCATAACCCTAGTCCTTTTGGTTATTCGAAAGAACTGGTTTGAAGTTTTTAACACAATTAACCTGTTTATAATCTTCAAAATGGGTCAAGGTCATTCGTTTGAACAAACTTGATAGCCTCATCTCAGCATGCTGCAACAAACCATAAAGGAATTGACCCTAGGCATCTTTGTTGTAGGAAAATGGTGTTGAAGTATTTTAGTTCATTAATTTGATACCACAGTGACCTTTAAAGTGGATCAGGGTCATGACATTGAACCCTTCACAAAGCATGCTAGTTAAGAAATACCGTAACCCTAGGCCTCTTGTTATTCAGAAGTTAATTAGTGAAAGGTTTGGACATATTTGACAGGTGACCTTGAAATTATCATAAGGTCATTCATTTCATGACATTTGATAGCCAGCCCTTCATGCCAGAATTGTTCTGGTGAAATATTACTATCCTAGGCCTCTTAGTTATCCAGGAGAATCCATTCAAATTAAAGTGAAGATCGAGGTAATGCAGCCAACTGTCTGTCAGAGGCTGTTTATTGCATTTATAGCTTAACGGTTATTTTGTGTAAGGAGATTGAATTGAAATAAAGAGTGAATATATCACCTTCCAATATAGAGGAACTTCAGTAGGTAAGTAAGGTACCATTCAGGCTTGTACCGAAAGGTGAAGGTCGTGGCAAGGTGATCAGTGATCTCTTGTTTAGGTATTTATTTCTGAGCAGTACATACAGATTTTTTAATGAAACTTTATGTGTTGCATACCACTAACAGACCTAGACTAGTAGTACCTTACAGCCTTTTTTGGTCAAGGTCACATATACGGGGTCAAGGTCAAGTCATCAATCTTAATCTTTTATAGGCAACTTTTTCTATGTAGCATGACTAAACTGTGAAATTTCAAGGGAATATATATCTACTGACTCCTGAGAACTATTGCTAATAAATTTCTTCAAAAGATCAAGACGCCCACCTGGCAGCCATCTTGTTTGTCCAATCATTCTTAAAATTTGAAAGTAAGTATGCACAACTTAAGACCAAGGAAAACTTCCATATGCAATTTGAGTTTGATCTTTCTGCTTTTTCTTGAGAAATAGCAACAACACAAGAATGCTTGAAGGACAGTTGTTGGATATAGACTACCAAAGGCGATTTGTACAGGACGCCATCCATCACACGGTTCGTGTAGTATATTGGCATACAAATATAAGAAAGAACAATATCATTTCAAAATTTATCAAAAAAATTCTTTAATATAATGACAGGAGATCAAAATATACAACAATATTTATACATGTATATTTAGAGAAAATGATCAGTAAGATAAAAGTGTTATTTTTCACTGTAGAGGGAGATATATATGCAATACCACACACTTGTGTTTTTCTAACAAATCAGAAAGCATAAGTTTATTGCGCGGACGAATATATACGTCCGCGCAATAAATGAGTGCTTTCTGATTCGTTAGTAAAGTGTGGTCTCGCTTATATCACATACCTTCCGTATTTGGTAGAGATCTATACAAAGATTTTATAAACTTGGTATTTTTTGCAAATACCGGGAACTTTTCAGTTCGCCATGACATGGGGATGATTCCCATAAAATGTAGTTCCAGCTAGTAGGTAAATTCAACATTCCGTATTGCACATGTGCAATACAGAACGTTGTGTTTCATGGTCTGAAAATTGCTTGTATAATTACTATAACAAGATTCAACAGGTATGTGATACAAAAATATATCTTTCATTTTAAGGGAAAAATAACACTTTCCAATGAAAACAAAATACAAGCAATACAAAATGACCGGAAAAATTTAATACACTGACAATGTTCTGAATTGGTTGAAGCAAGAGCTTTGAATATAATGTTACCCGTTATTTACTTTCATTACTGAAGAAACAGAAAATGCCGCACTACAAACTGTTTTTATTTTTGTCCAAAAGGTGATTGGTCCTTATTCATGAACTGCTGACCAGAAATGGACTATCACACATTGCAAACAGAAACTTTAACTATGCAAAATTAAAAGACTTCCCAATTTTCCACAGATGGAATCATCAGCGAACACAATTTACCAGTAAATAATATTGTCAAGAATAAGCGGGTGACATTACAGAATTATCACCTGAATACAGTACCATGCATTCCATATTTCTGAAAAGAGATTTTCCAAGAAAAATTGAAAAACATGTCTTTTGAGAACTTTACAAACATGTAAACTAAAAATGCTGGTGTTTTATTGTTGCAAAACATACCAGGAGATATTTTATGTGTGTTACAGGATACCTCCACTGTTCAACAGGGATGTGTGTGGTATCTACTGTCTATATGGATTTGTGTTTGTGGGGTAATCAATGATATGTCTATCAATCTGCACTGTTGTTTGTAGATCCCGATATTTACCAGCTGTCAATACACTTGTACTTTTGTTGGTGGGAAAATCACAGTTTTCTACCAATCTGCACTGTTGCTGGTAGATCCCGATATCTACCAGCTGTCAATACACTTGTACTTTTGTTGGTGGGAAAATCACAGTTTTCTACCAATCTGCACTGTTGTTTGCAAGGTAGTCACGACGACCAATGTTCTGTGCCTGTTTGGTTTGGAGAGCCTCTAGTTTGGGACAGTCTGAAATACGATGGCCCAGACCACCACAATAAGAACACCCCACTTCTCCTCCAATGTCCAAGTATTTTTCACTTTCCGATGTCATGCCAGCTAAGAATGGTGGACAGATTTGCTTAGCTTCAACTAGCAGATGTTTTAAGTCCAACAGGATACTTTCCTCCACTGACTTGTTGATGAAGGTTGTGGCGATGCCAGTTTTTCCACAACGACCAGTACGTCCGATTCTGTGGACGTAGTTCTCTATATCCTCTGGCATGTCGTAGTTGATGACTTGTTGAATGTCTGGGAAATCGAGTCCTTTGGAGGCCACGTCTGTAGCCACTAACACATCCTTCTTGAATTTTTTGAACTGGTCAATTGAGCGTGTTCTTTCTTCTTGATCTGCAATTAAGTAAGCAACATAAATTATTTACCATTGTATGGCTTATCTACCATATATGTAACCCTACCACATTTAGATGGCATTTATATAGGCTATGAATGCCACGAGCCGATTGTTGATGTCATCATTATAATGATGTCATATGTACAATAAATACATTATCTGAACTAAATACTGAATAATATTAGTGTCATTAAATTTCCATGAGATAAACAGATTTTACAAATGGTAAACATCAGTATTGAACTGCTTTCAGTTGTCATTCATAGGCAATATGAATGCCAACTGGACAAAGGACAAATCAAACAGGAATTGCACTAGAATTTGCCTATGTCCATTTGGCATTAAGCAGTTCAAGTTGATTTTTTGTGCATCATTTATTTTTGTATGCGTATTCGCTCCCTCCTCTACTTAGATCAATCTAATTAAAATTATATCTTCACATCGCTCCCGTTTACTGATATGTCGCGTTGAAGATCTAACAACATCCCGTAGAGGGTCATGTTCAGGCGAACTTTGCATTAACCAATCAGATGAGAGCTTATGCATTTCTGTAAGTGATGATGTAATGATTTCGGAACACACTTGCTATGATAAAAGACCGAGAGGTGTCAAATGAGCATCGAAAATGGCGGCGCCCATGACACCACGCCGTGTCTATCTACAAGACAACGTTTGTACAATTTGTGGATTTTGCTTTGAAATAAGAGAGACTTCCTCTTCTGGTGATGTTGTCGTTAAAAAGTTTAACAACCTGAAACTACAATTAACAAATGACAGGCTTCGCAATATTCAAACTATCACTGGACCAGACGAAAAAGTGGATTTTGGGCTACGAGGTGTCTGCATTAAATGCTACAGGTCCTGCTTTCTGATTGGTTGAAAGAAAGAGTTATGTCGCGTTTTGATTGGCTTGTTATAAATACGATAATGCATTCATGTTGACCTCTGACGTGACCCTCTATGGGATGTTGTTAGATCTTCAACGCGACATATCAGTAAACGGGAGCGATGTGAAGATATAATTTTAATTAGATTGTACTTAGATGCAAGACACAATCTCATGTGAACACTCACCCTTGCATGTGACTTCCAGAAATTATGTTGGTAAGGAGGAAACAGAAATTCTATTCTCAGGTGTAGAATTTTACCCCTCATACTTCCATATCATTGATAATACAACTGTATTAGAATATTAGATTGTCGGTAAATTAGCGTAGCTTGTTTCCTAATTCAAATGTTAATTTTATTTGCAGCAGCTTTTCACCAAAATACCATTTGAGTTAGTGTTTTTGTTACCTAAATTTTACAACAGCCTGTTCCTTAACAAATTGGGGAAAATATAGCTTTATTTGTATTGAAATTGCCAATATATTCCTCAGTTTTTGGTCATTTTGGAAAAATAAAGCACTTTTTAGCTAGGGGAAACAGCCTGTATTTGACTGTAAAACTTGGCAAAACAAATCGCTGTTTACTAGAACCTTGATGAAGCAAATAAGACCTATTGGTATAAAATATTGATGGGGAAGTAATATTTCTTTTTCCACCAGGAACTCTATAAAGAGAGTTAACTCACCTTTGCCACCATGTACTGCCACAGCCTCCACTCCCTTCAACAGCAGATACTCGTGGATGGCGTCTACGTCTTGTTTCTTCTCAGCAAATATCAACACCTTTAATAGAGCAAGTCAACATACTTGTAACTGTATATTTTGAGAAGACATTATCTGTAAGTATTGAATTACTTCTATATTATTGTTTTATTATCTAAATAACTATTATTGTATTGTCTGAAGATAAGTTGTATTTTCAAATAATCACTCGTTTTAATATCAAATCATCACTTCTGTTTTATTATCAAATTATGACTCTTGTTTTATTTTCAAAAGATGATTAACATTTTGTTGTGTGATGATATATTGTTGTATTGTGTGATGATATATTGTTGTATCGTATGATGATATATTGTTGTATTGTGTGATGATATATTGTTGTATTGTGTGATGATATATTGTTGTATCGTATGAT